CATGAAAACTCTACAGGGAACTAGGAGTTGTTATGTGTAATGTACGAAGCTCGTAAATATGTTAACTGTAAAATTATTGTCTGATTGTGTTTGTTTTGAATTTCAGCTGCAAAGTTTCGTTTGGATTGTTATCAGTTGAATCCAGCATCGTTACCTAATTGTGGTTGTGCACTTGAAGAAAATGTATCGCATTTTTCTTTACGTATATACGTGACGTCTTAGATAATAACAGAATTACTATTGATCGCATTACATGATCCATTTATAACTTCTTTAAATGACTCGAAAGTAACAGATGTTTTCCTAACAAGTATGACTTGTGTTAAGTCTATGACGACGATTTTAATTTAGTTTAGTTTTACGACCGCTTATCAGTTACTAGAGATTCAAACAGAACTAATTTCTGGAAGAATCAAAAGAAGATACCACGACCAGTTTCGACCTTTCTCAAGGATTTCCTTCAAGAAAGACATGGTTGAGGCACGACATGCAAGACAATTCAGTTCACACCGTGTGAGGGTGTTATTATTCCTTGTTCTTTTCCAACAAAGAATAATAACTTTCACACGATCAGAATGGAGCACAATATCACTGGCCACTGCACATATTCTATCTCTCTCCATTAAGTATTTCTTTTCATTCTATCAGAAATGATTTATCCTTCAACATAAACTGTATCTAATAACATTCACTCAACAAACTTTCAGACCTTTAGGCTTTTCGTTTTACAACTGAGTTAGGCTTTCAGACTTTTCAGTTTTAAAAATGACTTAAACAATCAGGCTGTTAGAGTTTTAGAATTCATTTTATATCTGTTAGACCTTCAAACTTTTCCACTTTTCATTATACTAATTACTTAGACAATTAGATTATAAGACTTTCAGACCTTTTGGCTTCCAGTATCAACAAGGTACTCTCTAAAAAAAATCCGTAGCTTACAAAACGAATATCGGTTTTGGCATTTGCTCCTAATAGAAACCGATATCCGTATCGTACGGTCCTGCATAACCGTTTCGCAGAATACGTTTCAACGTTTTTTCTCTGGTACAAAACTTAAATCCGTTTTTTCACAAGGCAAAAAACGGTGAAGCGTATTCTGCGAAACGGTTATGCAGGACTGTACGACACGGATATCGGTTTCTATTAGGAGCAAATGCCAAAACCGATATTCGTTTTGTAAGCTACGGATTTTTTTTAGAGAGTACTCCACTAAATGGATTATCTTATCCACAAAGTAATGTTTACGTATCCGATGCAGATATTAGAGTTTTGAAATTTTCGGTTAAATCAATAGGCGGTTCAAATGGAACACTAGTTGCAGTAGGTAGAATAATCACCATTGTCGGTCGTAATTCTAGCAGAACACATCTGTTTTTTCTATTCTTATCCGGCTATGCTGCTAAGAGAGCGTCCATGAGAATCGAGAAGCTGCAGTGAAAACCGCGGACCATTGGATCTCAGATTTCGTTTAAAGATTATCTCTCGTAGTCTATGTCATAAACTGTGGTTATGAAAAAGCTTTCGCCGTTTCAAACCGTTTTCCCCTTGATGAGTGAGTTACAGAATTTTTAAGCCATGAAAAAGCATCATCTGCCGTATTTTGATTTTGTGAATGCATTTTACATGCAATAAATTTGAGCAACACCTCATTCGAAATAGCAGAAAACTGCATCGATGGATGTAGCTCTCAAATTCTTCGAGGAGAAAATGTTTTTTTTCCTTTAAAACTGATACAAAATGAATTATTTGAAGTTCCAAAAATAAAAGGAAAGGGTGCTATTGATTCGAGTTTGCGAAAAAAAGAGATCCTGTCAGTAGCCGTCGTACTGGAGATTTTCTGCCAAGGCGAATTAATTTGATTTCTCTCAATGAATTAACAGCTAATCAACAGTTTCAGAAAGAGTCCACGACAGCATCGAAAAATGTTGTTCGCTGTTAAAACAGTGGATCTGAGATTTTGTTCTTCTGCTTTGCTCAGAAGTATGATTTTTCGTGCTTATTTCGATTAAAACAATGGTGCAGGGAATTCGGCATGCTATTTTATATATTCTGATTCAACGTCCGGCTACTTTTATATATCTAACTATACAGGTTATACGATATCATGATGGCTTCCCGGTGCTTCAAGTGGGACTTTTGTTATTTGTACACCCGGAATAAATGAAACTACCGAAACAACTTTAAATGGTCCACAGGCTGTAACAATAGATTAATATGGCAATTTGTATGTTACAGACTGCTCCTCAACGTATTATGTTGTATCGATCTGGTACATTTAGTGGTGCTGGCAGTAGTGGCATACAACTATTACCTACTTTAACGTAAAACATGGTGTAGAGTTTTTGCGTTTTTTGCTCTTTTCTCTTCTGGTTTGCCAAATTTCGTCATGGTCTGAAAGTTTTTTGAGAAAATTTTTATATGCATTTTCTTTTCTGGACAACTGAGCAATCTACAAAATTTATGTAAATAAAATCATGCTAGCACTTATTTGAGTGATGTCTACATAAAATAGATGGCTTTATTTAATCTACAAAAATCAGTCAAAAAAAGTTTTGGTGAAATTTTTGCAAGCAAGTTGTACTACTATAAGAAACGTTTTGGTAGATTCCAATATCGTATTGTGTGTTTCTAAGATTTTTGTCCTCTGAATGGCGAATTTTTGCGTTATTTAAGATCACGCATCGAACTAATCTCCAAAAGCTGCTTTTGTGGATGCTTTAGAGGACAAAAATTTTCCGAAAAGTCTAAAGGAGAAACCGTTTAGTTCAGTTTTATCTTGTCGTTCGAATGAGACGTGACTCAGATTTTTTTCCATCGAGAATGACGTCAAACTGAATCAAACTGGCTCATTTAAATTTTCTGTAATAACTTTTTGACTTTAAAAAAATTTTTGTCCTCTGAAACATCGGAAAAGCAGTTTTTGAGAGGTTAATTTGATGCCTGGTCATAAATAACGCAAAAATTCGCTATTTAGAGGACAAAAATCTTTGAAACACACATCATCGGATTCAGTTTTCGCCGCTGATTTCAAATATCACCTTTGTGTTCCTTCAAACTGACATCGTTATGGTTAAAGTTTGAAAATAGGATGACGATTTTTTGTATTTTTTGCTCTTTTCTCCTTTGGCTTGTCTAATTTCGTCATGTTCTGAAACATTTTTGATAAGATTTTTATATGCATTTTGTAGACAAACGAACGCTCTACAAAACCTGTATAGATAAAATCATGCTGGCACTTATCTTTGAGATGAGAAAAGAATTTGAAGCTGAATGGGTCATTTTGAAAAGCTCACTAAATTTTAGAAAAATCGATTTTTTGCCATGAAAATAAAAGATCACTGAACATCTGGATGAGCCAGTTTGGTTCAGTTTTATCTTGTCGTTCGAATGACACATGACTCGATTTTTTTCCATCGAAAAGAACGTCAAGAAATTAAAATTACCGACGATGGTACCATTCTTCGATTTTTCTGAAGCATCTCGATTCAAAAATTCTGCAACTCAAAGAAGAAACGGCTCTGGGGGTTTAAAATATTTTTCATAACTGTAGTTTGAAGTGTAGAATCGAATGAGAACATAAAAAATGAGTGTTAAATTCGGCCATATGACGGCTCCTTGTCGCAATGCTTGATCTGCTGGCGAAACCTCTCTTAAATTTAATATGATGCCCAGAAATATTTTCATTACCATAGTTTCATGAGTAAAATCGAGTAGTAGAACAAAAAGCATAAGCCACTACTTGTTTTACGTTTGTTTGCCTCCCAGGCGAAGCGACTCCGATCGGATCCGGTCATCGGATTGAATCAGTGGGGCTTCTTCTACGTCAAGATTCTGTCTTCTCTCCTAGAATCATTTTAGTTTTTATCTGCTTTTTTTAGTTGGACAATTGTAATTTAGAATCAATTCAAATTAAAAAAAGCGGAGATTATTGATCCATTGTTACATCCCGTGGATCATTTAATGTTGTTTCGGTAGTTCCATTTATTCCGCGTGTATAAATAACAAAAGTTTCACTTGAAGCATCTGAAAGGCATCGTGATATCGTATTTCACTTCATACAAATTGATCGAACTCACGCTAGGGAAGGGAGCTGTTACAATTACTAAAATGATGTATTTTATTGTTATTTTGCGCTTAGTGCACAAAATTACTTTTATTTCGTAAAAAGTTTCGAAAATTTATCGACGCAATTTCTCAAAAATTGTCTAAAATTCTGGAAATTTAGTGGTAGTAAGTATTTTTACTACTGGGACTCAAAGGGTTAACGCGTTAAACTGACAGGTTGTTCGCTACATTCCTACTGAGTCTCATCCTCTTCGGCAGCAAGATAGATGAAAATATAAAATTTGTTTTTCTCTTAATTGTATATTGACTTGTAGAACAAACATGTCACAGTGTGAAAAAGAAAGAAAACATAGTAGCGTCGTGTTCTCCACAGTTGAATGTTTCATATTTTAAAATAATCATCTGACGTGATTGCTGTTTCATAACCAAACAACAAACGTGAATCATAGATACCAGAAGAAATGTACTTATAGACTCACCTGTTCAGATCAACTCGTTTCTCTACTGTTCAACAAGAGAAAGTCTTCACGTGACAATTCGCCGGCGAGGTATATTAGTTAATCTTTTTTTAGTTTCCTTTGTTATAGTGATACTATTCAGAAATATAATTAAATTTTAAAAACATGTCTGCGCTCTTTTGACGTTATTTAAATTTCATATGGAAAAGAAACCTTATAGTATTAAACAAATGTTAGAATGTGAAAAATAAACACACGACAAAACGAATTTAACAACATTATTGAATTTTACAACTATATAACTAAGGTGACGATCATTTGATGAAAGATGATTGCAAGATAAACTACCGTCAGCAATTCCTTACTCGTAACTCTGCACCTCGAATACTCAAAATCAACATTAACAATCAGATTAAGACCAATTTCAAGTTTTAACCATCTACTGTCTGTTAATCACATAATAATCAAGTTCAATCAATGTCTGATTGGTCAGATAATCAATGCTTACCAGTAAGTGGGATTATTTCTTAGTTCGATATCATTTTCCTTACTTTTTCTAGGTTCAACTGGCTTCAAATTCAGCATTTCAATCATCTTATGTGTGGACGAAGGATAAAACACAGGTTGGTGGGATACATTTTTTTAATTCGATATCATTTTCCTTATTTTTTCTAGGTTCAGTTGGTTTCAAATCCAGCATTTCAATCGTCTTATTTGTGGACGAATGATAACACACAGGTCGGTGGAATATTTTTTTTAGTTCGATATAATTTTCTTATTTTTTTCTAGGTTCAATTGGCTTCAAATCCAGCATATCAATCATCGTATTTATGGACGAATGATGATACGCAGGTTGATATTCTTTATGTGATTGCTTGACCCTTTTATCACTTTCAATTTTAGGCAATTAATCAAGGATTTGATTTGAATTTGACACGTTCCAGTACACTAGTTTCCCCACGTAGTATTTTCAGTGTATCAGATAATACACCTTTGACACAAGATGGTTGGTCAGATATTCATATACAACGAACAGAACCACTCAATCGGCTGATTAAACTTAGGTAATATCAATGATTTTCAGTTCTAGATAAATAAAAGATTTACGCTTCTAGGTCAGCATCATTGGAACGATTTTTATTCGGAGCTACACTTGCCTTGCTATGTTCTTCAGCTATTATTTTGCCAATTGTTCTTACTTATAAGTTAGCAAATGTAATGCCAACAGCAGAGAGTACTACTACGACTACCAGCACTACGTCAAGTAAGGAGACTATTTAGTAACTTTTTAAAAAAACAAGCCGATGTCGAGAAGATCTGTTTCTCCAATCCCCCTTAACAAATAGATTTCACTTTCATACAATGATCGCTTTAGTCAGTTTTTAGGGCCTCCACGATGAACTCCATAACTTTCGATGGACGTTCATTTCAAAAAACTTTGGGAATCTACCTAGATATGTTGCCGCTATCTACTGTCAAAGTGAGAGAGAATAACTTAAACATCGATCGAGCAACTTAAATCGCTTCTCCCGTGCAATGACTCTTAAGCATGCTCCTAGCTCTCTTTTTTCCTAAAATTTCGAGTTTCAGATTAGATTTGTCATAACAAACAGTCAAGTACCCTATATAGGGTGAGGTGTCTCTCTATGATCTTTCCCTCTACAGTTATGCATTTCTCAAGTTTGACCACTGAGGATCCAAATTCATCATGTTGATCCTTAAACAAGTTCAGTTTTCAATTCAAGATCACAGGGGAAAAACCGCTTTTAAACAAACTTCAGTGTTTTCTTTAAGCCACAATCTCGACGACCACTTCAACGACAACCTCAACGACCACTTCAACGACAACCTCAACGACCACTTCAACGACGACCTCAACGACCACTTCATCAACGACCACTTCAACAACGACCTCAACGACCACTTCAACAACGACCTCAACGACCACTTCAACATCAACCGCAACGACGACCTCAACAACAACAAGTATGAAGTGTGAATGTAATAATAACAGTACGAGCTTTTTCTCTAGTTTTATCGTTTGTTCTTCTAGCAACGAATGGTCCATTTACAACACTGGTATTATGGACATTTGATAATAACACAAATGATTATTCTGGTATTTATAATGGTGTCCCTATTAATTCTCCAACGTATGTGTCGCCTGGCTACACCGGATACGGCTCAATGATCAAATTTCAAAGTGCATTGAACCAATCAGTAATAGTCACATATCCGATGCTAAATTTCGCGTACACGAGTTTTTCAATGGAAGCATGGATTTATCCATTCAACGTTTCATCAAATGCTGACGATAGTATTTTTTCGCAATGTCAAGCCCTTGTGACTGATCAATGTCTTCGTTTTGCATTAGCATCTGGTTATCTACGTATGAGATTCTATAACGATGGTTCACAAGGTATCATACTTTTTCAACCAAATAGATGGTATCATATTGCATGTATTTATGATTATAATTTAACAAATCAAATTGTCTATGTTAATGGTCTTCTTGATGGTTCTTATGCACCATCTGGACCGTATCAAGGAACAAGCGGTATATTTGAAATAGGTACAGCAACAGTTTCTTATGGTGTTGCGGCCAATCCTTTTAACGGTTATATGGATCAAGTATTATTCACTCCTAGAGCTAAAAACGCTACTGAAATTCTGAATGACGCAACACTTACTGCTTATTATTCCTTTGATAGTGGCTCATATTTGGACTCTGGCTCTTTATGGATCAATGGTACAGGCACGAGTGTTACTAGTACTACAGGTCGGGTTAATCAAGCTCTATCATTTGCCACATCACTTAGCTATTTTCAAGCCACTGGTTTTACTCTTTTGGGAACAGTCAATCAATCATTTTCAGTAGCATTATGGGTAAACCCAACAACAGTATCTGGAGGTGCTACCATTGTACATACTTCAGGATTAAAAAGCGGTCTTGGATGGTGTATTTCAATGATTGTAGGTAATTCGCCTATTATAAGCACATTTTCTCTGGTGAAGGTAGTTGATAGATGTGAATACTATCCCCAACATTCGCCTAAATCAACACTACACAATATTTGGATACTCTGGGGATTGAGTTCATCGGGACAAATCATTACTCAGGGTTGGAACGGTGTATTGCTCAGTGTAACAGGACCCCCTGTATCTGTAAACGTTTGGACCCACGTTGTCGAAACATACAGTTTTACAAATGGTGTTCGAATGTATATAAATGGTGTACTGTATAGTTCAACAGGTTCGTTTAGTTATACTGCAAGTGGCGTACCGAATACAATCACTTTAGGAAATCCACTAAATGGAACAGGTTGTGCATCATCACCAATCGTGCCTGGACAATATTATGGTGCCATAGATGAATTTCGGGTATATTCCAGAGAGTTAAACTCGACAGATGCTTATTCACTTGCTCATCCGTAGAGAATCCTTATTACATGAAAGCCTTCCGTCTGCATGCAGAACAATTCATTAAAATTATAATTTACACCTAGATAAAACGATTAACGTTGTCTTGATTATCACGTATGCGCTATAAAGATTTAGCTTTTAACTATCTGAAACGGCTGAATAATGGAGAAAATTAATACGGCGTGGCCAGCTAACTCTGCTACCGTAACCATCTGCTGTTAAAACGGACTCATACACTTGATCGTAACGCATATTGTACATATTGAACATCTTGCTTTTTTTGCATGACGAGATTCTAAAACAGGTGACTCATTCTACCGTCTCTATTAAGGATATCTTGCCTTCCTCTTAGTATAGATGGAGACCAGAAACACTTAGAGCCAACGGAGATGCTAGTAGAGCTTGGAATACTCTAT